GGCCCGGGCTCTCGCAGACTCCCCGGCCCCGGCCCAGGCCTGGCCAGCTCTCGGGCGGGGCCGCCGAGGGGCCCGCCACGGGAGCCGGCGCAGGAAACCTCGTCTCCCCGCCGCCTGCCCTCCTGGAAAGGGGGGAGCAGGGGAGGAAGCTCCGCGGCGACTGAGCCTGCGGGAGCACCGCGCTGACCGCGTTGTCTCCTCGGAGCCTCCTCCGGCCCCGCCTGACCTCCTGCCCCTCGAAATCCTCCCCGAATCTCCCCACCCTTCCTCCGGCAATGGGTGGAGGCCTTGGCGGAGGGTCTCTGGCCTGCGCAGCCCCGTGGAAGGGGGGCCGGAAAAATAAAGCTCTCTCCCGCCCGACGGCCGGGGGCCGGGAAAAACCGGGAAGTGTGGGCCGAGGGGGCACTGGGCTGGAGGGGGAATCGCCCTCGGGCGCCGGGGTCGTGCGTTCCAGGGAGCCCCTCCCTAAGTGCACTGCACGCTGTGAAAGTCCTTGTAGCTCCTCGGTGGGGTTGACGCTCCCACCCCTCCCTTCCCAGAGGAAGATTTCCACTGTACGTGACCCTCGCGCTTTGGTTTGCTGGTGTGGTGTGCAGGGAGTGTTGCGGGTCCCAGCTTCCAGGGTGATTGGGTCGGTACTGAGACTTTGACCGACCAAATGGGGGGAGGGAGGGGTGGAGGAAAGAAAGGGGCAGACTAGAGAGTTTCACTTCCACCATCCCTTTTCAGGGGCAGAGTCTACCCCTGACTTCTTGGAAGGTGAGTTCCTGCAGGGCAGAGCCCCTGGCACATAAAAGGTTCTGAACTAAATTAACGTTTATGAAGGGATATGATTAAAACCAGATACAGCAGTGCCTCCGTCATTCAGTTATCCCGGGTGGGCAGGGCATCCCAAGGAAATACACTTAAGAAAGTGTTCAGGGTCCCTTGAAATTTGGCCCCAAATCAAAGGAACCTAATAAAATAATTAATACTCTGCATTTGTAAAGTCTTTTCCTCTAAGAATGTTACCTCATTCCAAACATATTTTTTACTTCAAGTTGGATAAAATTCCAAAGCAGAAGAAAGGATTCATATGGGGCAAATAAGTTTCCAGCTATCCATGGTCAGAGTGGAGGAGCACAAAGAGTTAGCTTCGTTGATTCTTAAAGCCCTGTGCTTTCTTTGAAGTGGTATGGTGGGGTTACTTTGGTATGATCGAAAGAGTTAGGGGATGTACAGTCAGAGGACCTAGGCATGAGACTTGCTGGGCCATTTAGGCCTAAATTTCCTCGTATGAGAAATGATTACTGTGACGATGAGATAATATGAAGTATTCTTCGTAAGCCATAGGATATGCCACATAAATGCTTTAGTTACTGGGACTGGTATACAAGTCATGATTCATATACTGTAGCTGCAAAATACTTTCCCAAGACCTTACTGGTTATTTCTCCAGATATACTAGTAAGACACAGACAACCTCTTTCCAGTCACCTCTGAATCGGGGAAGAAATTCAGTTGTTTTAACAGGGCCACTCCTGTATCCTTGGCTCAGTTTGGCATCAAAACGCCTGATGACTTCCTTTTTACATCTTAGCCTATAAGATAGCTTCAGCTACTACACACTCCAAGCGTAGGCATCAAAACCCAAGCCCAGAAGACAAAGGAGTTATAAAAGAATAAATGTTGACCCAGGACCAGAAAGACAATCTGTTGTCCAGAGAACAAGACAAGAGGGTGCACGGACTCAGGTGCCAGATGTGCAAGCGGGGGTGGGGGGGGTGGGGGGGGCAGGACTGAAGGGCTCTATGTGCTGTTGAATCTCCTTTAATATTACTATGGACTGAATTGCGCTCCCAGCCCCTGCATTCATATGTTGAAGCCCTAACTCCCAACGTGCATCTGGAGATAGGGTCTTTAGGAGGTAATTAAAATTGAGTTCATAAGGATTGTAGCCTTATATGAAGAAGGAAAAGAGAGATCTCCCCATCACCATCACCAGAGTGTGTATATAATGAGAAGGCAGCCGTCTGCAAGCCAGGAAGAGAGCCCTCACTGGAACCCAACCATGCTGGCACACTAATCTCAGACTTCCATCCTCCAAAACTATGAGAAAATAAATTTCTGTTGTTTAAGCCACCTAGTCCGCAGCATTTTGTTATGGCAGCATGAGCAGACTAAGACAAATATGTCTTTGCTTGGAGCTGAACACCCTTCCTGCCACCTCTGCCACCTGGCATTTTGTTCAGCACTTCCACAGTTGTCTCATTTTTAATTCCTAACTGTGTGAGTTGGAATTGGCAGGATTTATTTTTAAATGAAAGAGCTAAAACTCAGAATGATTAAGTGACTTGCTGAAAGTCACACAGATTGTGAATGGGCCAAACCAACACTTGAGTCTCCCCAGACAACATCTAGTCAACTAATGCTAAGTACTACCATGTGCTAGGTTCTGATCTGGATTATGGGACTAGAAAGATGAATGTGATTTAGAGATGGGAAGGGCACAGTCTGGTCAGGAAGAGGAACATGTAAACAAATCATTACAGCGAAGAAAAGTGTCTACAAGGATAATTGGCCCAGCAGGTTTTTGGGGAAAGTGTTGCAGGCAGAGGAATCCTGGGAAAACATGGCTTTTCAGGGAGCCACAAGTACAGCTTAGAGCAGAGTATAGTGGAGGGAAGGAAGAGGCAGAGATGCTCCACAGGCCATTGAAGGTACTGTTCCTCTTCCTCCTGCCCAAGGACTCTGATTGCCTCCCCAGGGCCCTGGCCAAAAGAGAGAACTGAACTTGAACAGAGATCAAGGCAGTCCTTAAGGGACCTAATATCCCTAAGGAGATGCAGCAGTGAACTCTTCAATTAGGTTCATATTGACATTCTATAGTAAATTATCTTTGTTTGATTGTTTGAGCTGGGGGGGGGTCTCCTAAGGGTTAGTTTATTACAGCCCTAACCACTTGTAAATAAGTGATAATGTGCTTTAATTAAGAGAAGATATGAATTGCATACCTATGCGTTTTACTAGCAAGTGTCAGTGTTTATATAGAATGTCTGGTTTCCAGAGGCACAGAGTCTTACTTAAACTAATACAGGATCATCCCTCACAATAGAAATGCAGAAAAGGATAGTAGTTAATGAAGGGACTAACATCTGTCTGCTCTGTTTTGGGAGCATTAGTCCACGTTCTTACCAGTTGGATACGAGGATTCACTTACCTTCTACTGTTTTCTTTACAAGTTGCACACTTGTGTTTATAACAAGTATGACTTGTGATATCTGACTTTCAGGGACTTATTAAATCACAGCACACAAATGCCCTCTCTTGGGGAGAGACTGCAGGTTGGGGAAGAAATGAACCCAGAAGGGCTATATGCACTCCCAGCCCCTCTCCCAGAAACTGGGTTCCGCAGGTCTGCCCACCTCCCCAGGGTGCTCATTCTGCACACCAGGCCAACAGCCAATTTAAGGGCTGGTTCTGGGATTTCAACATCTCTCTGCCTGGGACGAAATGAAGACTATCACCTCTGCCTCACTGGAGATCTCATTAGAACTTGAACTCTGGTCTTTGTTCTTTCCCAGCGGGTTCAGTACAGTGGAGAAGGTGAGGGGAGAAGGGGGGTCGGTAAAACCACAACTCCCAGAGCATCAAGGGTCCGACGGGCCTCTGAGATCTGGATGTGAGTTAGCAAGCAATTACCTACAAGACAGCCTGGTAACCAGAGAAGCGGCCGAAAGAATTTGATTCTGCTCGCTCTGTGAGAGGATGTCTGCCTTCCCTCAAGCACCCCACCCCTCCCCAGCTTCTCAAGGCTAATTTCACCACCCTCTGCCTACTTTCCAAGTGATATTCCACCCTCAGTGGAAGCAAGGTCCCAGGGCTCAGAGGCAGAGGGCTCTGTTCTGGCTACATTCTGCTTGGTTTGGCCATTGTCAACGTCACTGCTCTTTGTCTATATTGGGAGAAGGGGAAAGAATCAGAGGGTGCTGCTACCCTCCCTACTCCAATACCCCTACAGCCTTCAAACCCTTTGGGGGAAGAGAATTTCGGAAGAAAGAGGTGACTCAGAATTTTCTCAGAAACCAGAGTGGGAGCCCAGCTGGGCTGCAGGAAGTGTGGGGTCTGAGTGAAAGAAACCTCACATTCCTTTCTCTGTTTGGCTGTGAGCTTCCCCCTGCCTACTGTTGCTGGGCTAGTCCCCCCCCCCTTTTTTTTTTTCACTTTCTCTGGTTCAGCTGATATCAATTCAGATCCTGGTACTGAAAGGCCTCTACATAGATAAGATTAAGGTCCCGCACTTATCTTCAAAGAATTTACGAGAAGGAAAGAATTTCAGGAGGTTAAAAAAAATGTACCTAAATAACAATACAAGGCAATAACATGTGCCTAGGAGACGGGCCACTGCAGCTAATAGTCCCGTCATTTCTCACCTGAATTATTGAACGGCCCTGTAACTGGCCCTGCCCCACCCTGCCTCCAGGCTTTCCTCTTCTTCCACTCCCCATCTAGTCTCCACACAATAGCCGGTGATGGATCTAAACGCATTTCCGATTGGGTCCCACCCCTACTTAAAAGCCGTCCTTGTTGGCTCCCCCACATCTTCCAAGATGAAACCAAAGCTCCTAACATGGCACTCTAGCCTTTTGTAGTCTGACCTCTTCTAATCCACGAAGCCATTCCCACTCCACACTCACGCTCCAACAGGAGTGAAGCATTTGTGATGTCCAGATACTACCGGCTCTCTGGCCTCAGGGCCTTTGCACAGGCAGCTCTATCTGCCTGGAATGCTTTTCCTCTTACTGGCCACTTGGCTAACTCCAATTTGCCTTTGGGGACTCAGCACGGAAATAACTTCCACCTCCCAGGAACCCTTCTCTGATACTCTGAGTTAAGCACCCCTCATCAATATCCCCTTATCACCACAGTATGAAGTCTGAATTATAATGAGTTTTCCATCCCTCTCCCTTGTAAACATCAAGTTCCTTACTCATCTTTGTACCTAGAGCCCGGCACAGAGTAGACACTAAATGACAGTTGGATGAAAGGCTGCCCAGCAGGCAGAGGAGCTCATAGAGAATATGGGAAGTCATTAGAGGCTTTTGAGTCAGAGGCTGATAATATCCGAAAACTATATTGTAAGCTGAGTAATCCATTAGTTATTCAGTAGTGCTGGGAGGAGGGAGGTTGAGGGAGCCGGGAGAACAACTGAAGTAGTAAGGGCTGGAAGTTGAGAATGACGAAGACTACAGTGGGGACTGGAAAGGGGATGGAGATGAGCTTCACGGTGGAGGTAGGGCTAGAAGCTTGAGCAAGACGTTTGGATGTGTTTAAGAGGGGGATGCGGGATGAGGTGAGGCCAAGGTCTGCAGCCCTGGTGCCGGAGAAGGAACTCGAATAGAGGAAGCAAACCAAAGTCATGAGAAGGCACTGGATGCAGGTAGCAGTGGGAAGAGGGCTGCGCAGGAATCTGATAGAGGAGATGATCTGTTTGTTTTTAGAAATAGCTTCAGCTAATGAGGACAGAAAGCAAACCGACTGGAGGACTTTTGAGCTCTGCGTTGCTTTTGTCTCTTGGTGGTCTAGGCATGGAAAGCCTAACAAGCTATAGGGCCTTATCTTGTCTTTTTTTTTTTTTTTTTTTTGGCCATGCTGCGCAGCTTGTGGGATCTTAGTTCCCTAACCTGGGATTGAACCCTGGGCCCTCAGCTGTGATAGCGCGGAGTCCTAACCACTGGACCTCCAGGGAATTACATTTTTTTTTTTTTCTTTTTGTCCTTTCAAAAACTGTGATGAAGGCTCAGGAATGGTGCTGCTGGGTAAATCTCTCCTCCAGCTTCAGCACAAAATGATCCCACGCCAAGGAGAGCTATTAATTCTTTTGCATTTCCCCCATGCTCCAGAGGACTTTGCTGGGGGGTAATGCTGTTTCTCCATCTGGAGGGCACTATGTTTTATCAAATACACAGTTCTCAGTTCATTACCTTTTTTCTCCTTCTCACATTCTTCCTGTTTTCTGACTCTGAGTTTATTTTAGTCTCGTGTTTCTCTTGAAATTATCACAGACATCTGTCTCTCCTGCCTCCACCATCCGTCCACCCCTCTCTCCTCTCCCACTCCTACCCTCATCTCCTTAACCTCTCATCAGTTGCTTTACGAGACCTAAAACTGCTCAGCTTCCCTCCCTCTGCTCAGCATCCAGGGCCTCTTTGTTGGGCACGTCTCAACCTGTTCTCAGTCTCAGACTAACCCTCCGTAACACGGAGAATGACAGATGAGGTCAGACTTGCTTGGGAGGGAAGGAAAGGCGAGTTTCTTACCAGGAAACCATGCTCATTCATAACTGGCTTTCCAAATGAGAACAGACTACGTGTGTGTGTGTGTGTGTGTTTTCTGCTGACAAAACCCCCAAGCCTGCTTTCCTCAGAGCACATGCCTGCATTCTGATGTTTTAAACTCCGAAAATATAAAGAGGACAAAGCATTAGAAATATACATCTTTAGACTAGTAGCTGGCAGGTGCTGGGGTTTGGGGGAGTGAGCCTTTATCCTCCGGGATCCTCCTGCACATTGTTACCTTGCCATCTGGTAGGCTGGGGTTGAAGCTGCAAGAGTCTTCTTGGGCTGAGAGCGAGGCAGAAAATGCAGGCGACTGATCCTAACAAGGTCCCTGGAGTGATTTATTAGCGACTCCAGTCTCCTTTTATTTGACAGGAGAAGGAAAAGAAAGTTGTTTATTCCTTCTGATAAGAGACACTTACTTAGTAGTTTATATATTCAAACCCCATTCACCTCAACAGGCCCTTTCAATGGACGCCGCATCCTCTCTAGCTATCATCCTGGTGCTCTTTCGCCTCTTACGCCAAATTTCGGGGGGGGGGGGAGCTACAGCCAGAGCCTCCACATCCTTCCTTCCACTCCCTTTATGATCAAGTTTTCTCTCCCATCTTCTACCTGAATCTCTCTCAAAATTCACCAGTGACCATGTTTAGTTCAATGTTCCCGTTTTCCGTGACTTGTATGTTGCCCATCTCCCTGTGTAGAAGCCTGATTCCCACCTTTCCACAAACTGTGATCCTGCTGACAGAGCCTTCTTCCTACTCCAGCCCCTAACTTCATGTTTCCCCTTCACGAGGTCCTTAGCTTCTGCCCTTCTCTCTTGCCTGCAGAGTTTCTTTATGCTGTCAGCTTTAAGGATCATCCCTAAACTCGGCTATGCTCCCCCTGGAGAGCAGCATATGAAAAGGCGCAGAAGCCTGCAGCTAGTCCCACGTGGCAGGAGGCAGTGTATGAGGAAAGGAACGGCCAGAGGGAGCCAGGCTTGAGTGACCTCAAGGTGAGAAGTTCAAGCTGGACACCACCTGACCCCCTGCCACCACCACCCCCATCAGTGGAAATAACTGCTTTTTACTTGATGTGTCATGCAGATCACCTGGGGATCTTGTTAAATGCAGATCCAGGAGGGCTGGGGTGGGGCCTGAGATTTTGCATTTCTGGCAGACTCCCAAATGACCCATGCTGCGGGTCCAAGGACCATACTTTGAGGAGCAAGGGGCTAGATCACACTCACCTATGGTCAGATTTTCTGGGGGGGTTCTGTGTTGTTTATGCATCTCATCTGGAATGTAACCCAACTTGAGGGCCAGGATCCAGTCGTTTGCATCTTCGTATTCCCTACTGATGAGTTCCTTCTGGGTGTTCCTGTAAATACTTAATTGATGGAACCCAGGGCTGAGTTGTTTATATCTTCCGGCTTTGCTATACAAACACTAATTTATCTTCAAATCACAATCGTGAGGCAAGTGGATACTTTTTTTTTTTTTTTTAACTACAGATAGAAACCAGGAAAGATGAATGACTCTCCAAGTAGTGAGTCACATTTTCAGATCCTGGCCTACAAGTCCCTGGCTCAGAGGGATCCCAGTCCAGGGGGAATTCCAACACTGCCTCTGCTTGGGTTCTCACCTGCCCGGGCAAGATGTCCCACTCACTCTCTGGACCTTGTTTCCTCTTTCCTGACTGATCCGTAGGAGACCCTCCCCTCCTCACAGAGGAGCTCAGGAGCCTTAAGGAATGGCAAACTCCATGTTAGGAGGCCAGATACCTCATGCTGAGGTGACTAAAAGGTTGAGAAGCAGACAGCTGCGCCGGCCCACGCGCTGGAATCGTCCACACGCTGCATCTTTACAGCTGCTCTCAGCAGTGCAGACTAGGAGCACCTTTTAAAAGACATTTTGAAGAGGGAGTGAGTGAAGTGTAGGGAGAAAACCACAGAAATCACAGAGTAATGACGACCTCAGCATAGCGGCCCATGTACTCTAAGTTCAGCTTCTGAAACTGAATCTTTGGGTTCAGGGATTTCTCCCATGGCCATAAAAATAAAAGCAACTCCAGTCTCTAAAGTAGGTCACGCAGTTAGAGAGAGAGAGAGAGAGAGAGACAGAGAGAGAGAGAGAGAGAGAGGCTCGTGCTGATAAGTGCAGATGTCAAGGTGCTTTCACCCTTTTCCAAACCAAAAATAAAAACTTGGAAATTGTCTGAAGAAAACAGGAGGTTGTGGTGCAGCTTGAGAAAAGCCAGGGGGAAGAAAGTGGGAGGGGCGCTCCTGCCCTGGAGAACGTGACTCCACGGCGATTGCCCCCCCATCCATGACTGTTCCCACCCCACAGTCTCTCTTCACGATCTCCAGCTCACTTGCTGCCCATCACCTCTGTTGCGTGATTCCAGTGGGTTGTAACTATTCCCCACTCCCACTTCTGTTAACTCACTGTAAAAAGTTTCTATTAATCAATCAAAGCCTAGAGAGGAAAGACAAAGCAAAGAAGCACTTTGGGACTTCTCCATCAGAGGAGGCCTGGGGATCCATTTTCTGTTCTAGAAGGCAGCACTGGGAGCTCCAGCAAAGGCAAGGGGGATCTGTGTAGCCCACATTTGGGCTACGCTGACTTTGCCTCTCCTTTCCCCCATCTGGTCCAAGCCAAGCCGGCTTTCAGTGGCTGCTCCTGTTTCTAAGATGGATACTCCCATACCCACCCCCTGCTATTATGCTGGAATCTGGGGTCTGGTGAGGCACCAGGGTTGGACCACCAGCAATCACAGCTGTGGCTTGATCCCTGGGGGGCAGAGTCTCTGGAGACCGCAAGTCTCAAGTTCAAGAAATCCAACTCTGCTCCTTCGTAGCTGGTGGTAGCATTCCCAATCCCAGCTCTTCCCTGTGTCTCAGACCCTTCCCCAGGCAAACGATAAATGTGAGTGCCCTCGGAAGAGGATGGAGGGAGGGGGATCTTAGAAAGACACAGCAGAGACAGAACAACAACACAACTCCAGCACTGAAGAAAGGATCTGTGCCACAAAGGGCAGGATGATGCTGTGACTGGCTAGAAGGAAAGAGCCATGCACTTGTGGATCAATTTGGAGAAAGACTCTTACTGGGTGGTGTCCTGGATTCAGGAAAGGCATCAAGTGTGGGGAGTAGCCTAAGGAAATCCTGCCCTCAGAGACAACTTCAGTGCTTTGAGCAGAGGGAACAGAATGGTTTTTTACCTCAGAGAAAGCAAGTTGCCAGCAGCTGCCCTGCCCCAAGACTTGAGAGGTCAAATGAGTTGAAGAACAAGCAGGTGGGAGCACATAGTTTTGGCACAGCTCTGAGTGCTAGAAAAACTGAAAGGAGCCTTGCCTTGGCATCTAGGGGAATGATTGGGCTGGAGCAGCCTGACAGAAGCCCAGTCCTCAAAGCCCGGGGAGAAAGCAGAGGGCTGGGATCAGGGCTGACTTGGTGCCTAGAAGGGGCGAAAAAGGGACGCTGCATCTCACCTTCATCCTGTAAGTTAGGGATGTGGCTTATGACACAGAGACGTCGTGTGACCAGGTCCCAGAAAACTTGATTATATAAAATAAGTAGATCTACCAACAAATATCAACAGGCCTATTTTATAGCAGTCTCCTAAGAGAACTGCTACTGGAGAGGCTCGGTGGTGATGACCGGGACCAGCCCTTCTTTCTGCAGCTCCCCAAAGCTGACAGCCAAGACTCTTTCTCACCTGCCCTAAAGCAGGCAGCACCCAGCAGTGGAAACTGCTTCTGATCAGCAGAGTGGGGAGAGGGAGAGGCCCTGTCAGGAATCCAGTCCCTGGAGGCTTCTCCCTCCCTGCTCGTAGAATTCCAAACGTCTGAGATAAACCGCAGGATACAGTCCAGCAACATCCCAATCGGGCTATATTCCTCTGGGAATGAGCAATAGCTAGACAGAGATTTTATTTTTAAAACCCTCATTCCCACTTGGGGCAGGGGGTGGTGGTAGGCATTGGGGAAAACTGTGCTTGGATCAGGAAGGGGGCATTCTGCTAGATGTGCGTATCTTCTTACACTTTTTGTTCTTACATATTCTCTTCTCTAGTGTACCCTCAAGAATTGTTACTGAAAAACTCCTAGGGCCATGAGTTAAGATCACAATGATTCCTAACATCAACTCTGCTTCTACTCTATTTTTCCTCCCAAGGCTTTCCACTGGGTAGAATTTTAAATTTGAACAATGGTTCAAAGGCTGAGAGACAAACTGCTCATTACTGGAAAGAGTGCCAGGAATCCTGGGAAGCAGACCTCACTCCCCACCAGAGTTCTGTACCTAATCGGAAAGGCTTCTTTCATAGTCACGGGAGGGTTAGATTAGTGTTTCTTTTCATTCTCGTCTTCTTTCAGGAACTGCTGGGATAAAAGCAAGCCTAGGAGAATAAAAAAATTCACAAATAGGACAAGAATAAAATATTTAGGGCAAGAGATCAGAAGTTCTTTGGTTATTCAGTGAACTGAACTAACTCTACTTTAAAAAAGTATAAGGAAGTAAACGTCCATCAGACTGCATGTCACAGTGGGTATTAGCCTTTCGACCCCATCTCACAGGCTCTAAGCTGAGCTGTTATGCCTAGCAAGTTGAACTGATAAAATAGAGTTTTGTCATCATGAAGTCTGTTCCTGATATTTACTCTATCTTTATTCTGAGATGCATTCTACCAAAGTTGTTAGATGGCCCATTCCCTTCCACTTCTCATCTCAAAATCTAATCAGCAGTGAATGGTAGGAACGCAAGAGTTATTATTACTCCGTTAGGTGCCTTAAAGCAAAGCCAGTCACTCCGAAGGGGCAGTTCAAGCTTTCCAGCTTTCTATCATTAGTTCCTTTCCCCAAATACAATCAGTGGTTTCTGAGAAGGAAGACAGGCTTAAAGAGACACAGTTGAGAAGTATTGTACTAAAACTTATCACCTTTATTCACTATTGATGTGATCTTCCTGTAGTACTTGTCAAAAAGCACTTTAAACATCTGGAAGAAAATTTTTTCCTGGACCAGACCTAAGGTTAAATTGATCAAAAAACTCCCGCCCAGAGTTGTCAAGAAGTGGTTAGGTACTAAAACTATGGTTCGTTTCTAGTCACACTGAATCTGATAACCCCATCCTGGCACCAGGAAGGCTCTTTTCCAGGACCTATCAATTAACAGGCTTAAGAAACATTCTATGCTCAAGTAATTCAGGCTAAAAATAACTCTGGGCTATTTTTTTCTCTACTCATCCACAGAAAGCATTTGTGTGTCAACAAGATCTTTGTTCCTTGAGAGTTTTCACTCCAGCTTACTCCTCCCTGAAAATAGTTGTTTGAGACAGTCAGGAAAGTCACAGGGTTGGTGTGAGGCATAGAGAACAGCAAAACTATTCTAAGCTTTGTGCACTGCCAAGTGTCCAGAGGAAAACAAGAATAAAAGAACCCAGAATTCACAGATAGGATTAATTTAAAAACAGACTCTCCTCTCCCCTCCTTTCTTACAAATATACCCAGTTCTTTGACCATAATAGATCTGAGTTATACATAGAACGTCTACATTAACAACTGCATGCTTACTATACTATGTATCAGGTACTTTTCTAAAAACGTTAGGGGCATTGACATTAATTTTCACAACTCTATGAGGTAGGCACAATTATCTCAACTTCATATCCGAAAAAACTGAGGCACAGAGAGATGAAGTAAGTTGTCCAGGGTCCCTCAGCTAATAAGGGGCAGAGCCAAGACACGAACCCAGGAAGTCTGGCTCCAGGTCCCAGCTCTAACCATGACACATACTGCTTCTACAATCAAACAGATTAATGATCTTTACTGATTTCCTACAAAGCTGTATTTCCCTAACTATCAGATATGTCCATTTACCTTCTCTAAATTAAACAGACACATGGTCCCATGGTTCATCTTAATGTGAAAACAAGGATCAATGGGGATTTTCATCTCAACCAAAACACATCAACTCAAACACACCGAATGTTACCCTCTTTCAAATATAAAAATG